AAAATTGGCAAATCAGCCATGTAAGCACCATAAACATCCACTGCGTCATGTTTGTTTCTAGGCTACTGTTCGACGAGGCACAGCAACCCTTAAAAGAGAATTTTGGAACTCATCATCATTATCCTGGTGGCAGCACTACATCATTGGTGGAAACCGGTATTTGCCTGCCATATGGCCACGAAAATTCGTGACTGTTCAACAACAAAGATTGGTACTATCACGTTCACATAGCGGCATAGGAGTGGAGATGCCATAGAATTAGAAAAATTGGGACGATTCATCAAGCTAGATAAAGTTGCGTTACTTTACCTAGCATTACCATGCGTTAACTCAGCGGCCGACCGATATCCGGTTCTGGATTCCACTGACACCTCAAACAATGCTAGGCAACACTTGCACAGTAGGACGAGTGACAAGCGCGGTTTACGCCGGGCAGTAAGTGAAACGTTCGGTACACTTTTTAGCTTATACAAGCCCGGGAGAGTATGACTGGAGGTCTAACAAATAGTTTGGTCAGCAAATCTCGTCTTCTTTGCGCATGTTCTCGTCGGGTTGGCAAGGTTTTCACGCCCGGTCGAAGGCTCCTTCTAACGGAGTCGTACTTTTGGTGGAAGGATGGTTCGGGTATATTGTCATCCCATAGGTCGCTTCATATGACCTTGTTTACGAAAGTGCAGGTGTGCATTTAGCTTGTTGATGATATCCAACTAATTTCAGTTTTTGGCAAGATGGTCAGCTGGACAGTAACATCTGTTGTGAATGCTGTGTAGTTCACAAAAGAACAAAAACAATCAGTCTCGGTAAGCAGACAGTGGAATATAATTCAGTCAAATGTTGTAGCTAATATTGTCCTTACCCACAGTGACCGACCAAAGAGGTTATTTTGGAAGGGATTTCACTCGAAATTCCACACAAAAGTGGTTTCTCCTGGAATGACTTCACCACAATAAATTACGAAGTGTAAAATAGTGCAGACTGATCAAGAGGCAGTGTGGAGAGCTAATCGATTAGAATATCTAAAAAAACTATTCAGATTTATCAGAGCGTTTAACAAGCCATACTAGATACAGCAGTGCTAAGAAACCCATCGAGTCAGTGGCGGTATTATAAAATCATAGAAAAAGATTATAAGACAAATGGGAAGCAAGCCGTAGAATAAATTCAGATTAGATTCGAAGGAGTTGATAAACAACTCTTATGAGTTGCAACACTCAGTGACACTTTTTGTGCATCTGCACGTCATCCAGTATACTTCAAGTGAAAAATGTCGAGTTATTTCTCTAGCAAGTTGTCTCTTGTAAAAGAGTCACCTGCGGAATTTCAGAGGGTGCTCAGGGTGTCTTGTTGGTGTCCGAGTAAGAGTAAGTCGACCTTCAAGGAACTACGTGCCGAGCTCGCTGTCGTAGTGTTTTAAAGGGAAATTCTTCGAATACCACCTCACCTGACTTTCTCAACGGTTTGAGACTTCTCTTTAATCCCTTCTAAGTAGTTATCGGTTGTCATATTGGTGAAGTGTGTGTTCTATGCCCTCTACAGAAGCACACATTAGTGTGCATGGAAAGAATTCAAACGAAGTGCGAACTCCCCTTATTGCTGATGGGAAACTTGGTAGGCATTAATGGTTAAACCAACAATGGATTATCCGTTTCGGTCATAAGAACAAAGGTGGCGAGCAAAGCCTGTATTCTGCTCCTGACTTTCTTGCCTGGTGCATCACAAACTTATGTGAAACAGCATAATTCACGTGTGCAGTTAGCTGAATTCATCGGTACATGTGAAGCAGGAGATGGGAAGACAAGTGGCTGTGGGTCACAGAGTCGAATGCATTATGCCACTGTTGATAGTGTGAGGAGGCTTGGAGGTTTCGTAGGGGCAGTATGTAGCCAAAAAGCCAGAAACACTTGTTGGAAATGAGCAGCAGTGGATACCTCCCGCATCCTACCGGCTGGTAGCTGAAGACCAAACTGAATGGAAGCGAGCGGCTGATAAGCAGTATGATTAACTTGCACTTAGACGAACCATACTACCACTAATCGTCCACTCACGTGACTGGCCAGTTGAATTTTGGTTGGTCGGATGGAACGAACGTGAGACACCCTAGCTATTTGTAAGATACCCACGGGAGGCGATTCCAAATGAAGTTAAAACAACCGTATACTACTTCTCGCCTTTTTGCCACCGAGGACATGCTACCAGAAGCAAGCTGAAAGTGGGTATTATTTCACAAGTAGCATGGACCTTTCATCTGATAGGCCAGTCAAAATATGACCACGGATTCCGCGATCGACTGAGAGTGCCAATATATTGCTATCGTTTATTTTTGCAGAGCCTGGTCACAGACATAAAAATTGAGTGCAAGTGATGAGTGCGAAACGGTTACAGGAGAATATGAGATGAAAGAGAGGAACGTCTCATTCGAATTCAAGCCACCAACAGTTCCAGTCAGCTCAAATCGAGATTGCCGGCAAACCTCAAGAAATAGGATACCCAGTGAGTTTGATTAGGCGACAACTAAGCAAGATATTGGTTCCAGTATCTAGACCCAGTAAAGAATGGATTGGCACAGCAGTCATTCCATATAAAGCAGGAACACCGGAGGTTATTCGAAGATTGTTGAACTTAGCCAACATTAGAGTAGCTTTTCAGAAAGGAAAAACGCTACGCTCAGTTTTGGTGCAATTGAAAGATCCCCTGCCGGCTGAAAGGACTAGGGACTGTGTGTACAAAATTAACTGCAACGATTGTGCTAAGGTTTATATAGGACAAACTGCCAGGGAATTGCACACCAGAATTGGTGAGCATAAAAGAAGGATTAACAAGCCACCAAGGAATGCAGAAGAATACCAAACGCTGGTCAAAGACTCAGCGATGGCGGTACATGCCTTAGACACGGGACATAGAATAGATCTGGAGAATGTGGAAGTCTTAAGACGGGGACTGCGATTCACACCACAACGGCTGATAGCCGAGGCGGTGGAAATCACTAAGCATCACAGTGTGAATAGAATCGAGGGTGTGGAGCTAGCGAGCGTATGGAAAGCGGTCTTAGATAAGCCGAGTTGACACGTGACGGTGTGGTTGTCAATCCACTTAGGATCATTAGAAAAAACCGGGGGGTAGGGGTGGAAACCCCAACCGACCAAAGGTCACAGCATCCCTCCTACACAACTCTCTTAGCACTAGCTCACCCACACAGACTAACAGAAGGTTCAAACGAAGTTCAAGAGGAACCATCAAATGAACCGAACCAGAAGAACTAGACCCTAGGCAGGACCCAAACACATGTAGGTTTCCCCACCGACCCAACACTTGTTCAACCACTCTAACACACTAAAATCCCTCGGCCGACACCCAACAGAGATTTAGCTTGACTTAGCTGATTGGTTCTCCTTCCGCCTTAAATCTCGATCAACCTCGGAACCTAGTCACTTGGCCTGACGAAGCTTTTGTGTCAAAAGCGAAACGTTGCCCAGCAATAAATCTACCGATTGTCACCAAACTTTTTCGAAAAATGTTCAATGCTCTTCAAGGCGCGGTAGGCGCTAGCACAGTCAAGACTTGCATATTAGGCACAAAGTGCCCGTCAGGGTCGGTCTGGTTTGGGAGTAAATGGAAAAAATGGACACTCAGTGCCATGTGCCACGCATAAAAGTGTCGTAAGTACGCAGAAAACAGTGCGTGCAAAGTGCCCGTCATACTGGGTCTGGTTTGGGAGTAAATGGAAAAAATGGACACTCAGTGCCATGTGCCACGCATAAAAGTGTCGTAAGTACGCAGAAAGTCCACAGTGCGTGAGTGCACATTTAGTAACAAAACTGAAGCATCAAATAAATCTACTTTTAAGCTGATGGAGACATGTAACACGCTTGTCTAAATACTGCCTACCAAATAAAACAGTGTTTTCCACCCTAAACTCGTTGTCACTAGCTATTGGAGTCACCAGGACTGCATCTGAACTGCTAAATGTTATGACCAGTGGATATAGCGAGCAACTCGGACTGAATTACCCGTTGTTTATATTCATAAGCGTAGTTTATGGGTCCTAGCTAAGAGGGCAAGTAATCGAGGTTTATCTGGCTGCCGCGTAAAATGAAGGAAATTGTGATGTGAGCACCATCCGGCCCAGTTCCTTGAACCAAACAGAATTCCGTTCAATTGGGTGTACTTAATCGTTTTTCGTTTGAACTTTTGAATGAGTTTTGTGGCAAATTTCAACGGTAGCCAAACAACATTTATTATCTTGCCGTCCTTCTCAACCTAATGGTGGGGGATGGATGCTTCAACTTTCTTGACTTGCATTGTGGGTAAGCTGATGGTGATTTGCCTGCTAAGTGGTGAAAAATTGTGGCACAACACTGCTGCAGTATTACGGAGCAATTTCTATTTCATCAGTAGGAGGGGAACAGAAAAACGTACGAACTACTAAAATTTTTGCAAGCAATGTGAATGGTGGATTGAATGCGCCCTACAGAACTCATCTAAAAGTTTTCTGCATTGAGCTTTTTGAGTGCCTTGGTCTTCCGGTTTATCAGCAGCTGCAACTTATTCACTAGGCTGACAGAGTTGACTTTTTCTGGGGCTTCTATTCGCCTCTTTCCAGTTCTGAAGTGCAAACGCCCTTAAAACTGGCGCCCTTACCTTAACTACTCACAAGCTTTTTGCAACCGAAGAAATACTGCGTGGACTTTAGTAACTGGCCACATCATGCAGGAATTTCACTTTTCTTTAGACTTTTGCCACAGTGACCAAAATCCTAATTCCATCTCTCTGAGCTGTTTATGTTCTCTATCGTTTGGCAGGCTGGAAGATCAAAATAGCATTTCAACCAATCAGGGATAACCTGTGGATTTCGACAAACTTATATAATCATACATTCACTTTCGTTGGCCTATTTCCGGCGCTCAGGTGAATTCACTGACTGGAAAGATTTCGGCAAACAGTCCGGTTGACGAGTTATGAATAAACAACTTCCAGGCAATTAGTTTGTTCCGTCTTCCCTTATGGGTTCTGAGATAACGTCCGAAAAATCCACCGTAGCAAGAAGATGTGAACTGTGTACACTTATCTGGCAGGAACTTGGTGGTGCACGAAATTCGGAGGCACCTGATCATGCCAGAGTGAATAATCTTTCGGATGGCAGAAATACAATCACAAACCCAAAAATAACGACCGAGATCTCCCAAATCATTCGAGAGGAACTTTGTCGGTTTTGTGAGAACACGACGATTCGGGGTCTACCACGTATTGTACGCGCCCATAGTCGATCGCTTCGTCTGCTATGGTCAGCACTGGTGACAATATTGATGCTTGGTTGCACCACATGTTTGCTTTTCCTTGGTCGCCAATATCTGGAATACAATGTCATTCATCCACCTCGAGTGTTGCGCCATACTTCCAGTCCGTTTCCGGCTGTTACGGTTTGCAATCTCAGGCCCATCTCACCCGATGGAGTAAGGTATTTGAAACAGCGTGGTTGGAAAACACCCAGGCAGTTTGGTATGGATTTAGCGCGTTTCACGCAACATTTTTATTACAATGCTGGGCGAAAAGAAGATTATAAAATGGCAAGCGCTGCCATTTCATTTGCTGGTTTCTTGGAAAGTTTGCCAAACGACGAGGAACGAAGGAAACTGGGCTACTTGCATGAGAAGTTGATAATAAAGTGCCAGGTAGGTATACGCTCAAATAGATATATGTACTATTTGTAGAACGACCTAATGTGGCACATTATGGTGTGATACAATAGCACACAGTACAATGTATACACATGCATACCTTCACATATACACATTGGTGTTAAGAACTTTAGGATCATTTTACTTCATACGGCGTAGAAAGTTTTTGATTATCACGAGACGGTAAATTTTAGAAAGTAGCTATTATCGGACTTTTTTTGTGCCTTTTAGATTAATGTGTTACTTTGAGTAGTCTGCATTTCTTATCATGCAGCTAGCTATGCTTGAGTTGAATTATCCAAATAAGCTAGCTGATGGCTGTAGCGGATCATTTATGAGTAGCCTTGCTCTAGAAGATGCACAAGTCACCTTAGGTGAAATTATGGTAGATGAGTAAAACTGGAAGCTATACACAGGAATCAACAACAGGTAGTTGAAAACAATAGTGCAACTTACAAACATTCTGATGAATAGGCAAAGTGGCGAGTTCTTGTTATTTAACCACGAAGGCTAAATATCCCTAAACCAGACTTAAACAACCTGCCCCGCACTGTGCGAAAACCAGCAACAACTGGATTTCAGTCTCTGTAGCACCGATAAACAAGCTTATTAGTATTGATATTCACGATTGATAAAAGGCTTCAAATCGGAAAGCTGGATTCATCGTACAAGCCACTTACCATATCTGTTTTTTCACCGACGCAATTTCAAGTACTTTGGAAAGGTCCCGAAAATTTGAACTAAGAGGTATTTCCACCGGCCCTTGTGTGTAGTATGATCACACCACACTAAAATTATGATATTTAGCATGACACTTGTCAACACAAAACATATTTAGCATTAGGTCCTTTGTATATTTTAGCATTTAGCAACAAGCAGTCCGGTTATTGAAAGTGCTATTTTGGCAAACAACAACGGGTTCTGTTATCGGCGATCCCATTTTGGTGAGAGGAGTCTGAGATCTGTAATATTCATGATAGAAAACTACGTTTGTCACGTTATCATTCATGTTCACCATTCAAATGTAAATTCATAAATATATCGGTAGTTGTTTAATAATGATAATGTACAATAATAGGTAAAACCGATACCCAGTAAATATATAAACTGCATGTAAATTAACGAAAGTATAAATTTTCCACGCTGTAATGCTCAGGGAAATCATTTATTTGTCACTTGTTACTGCGACTTCCTTAATGTTTCCGTATGTCAAAAGAACATAGAGCTTGAGAGCCAACAATTTTACATCGTAATATAACCCTTGTCCTGCTTGATCGTATGATCAAACGTTGTGCAGTACATCGATACATTTGGTTCTGATATCGCTCTCTGATACAACGAAGGATATGGTGACAGGAGCCAAAGACTGGTAAAGATGCCTCGAGAATAGAATCACTCCTGACTTGTTTTCCTCTTTACCTCTAAGTGTCGCCTCATTATTTTCTTCGGTTAAGCACCAATCGCTACACATACAGACCTAACTTCTGCTTTTCTCTATTTTGAATCGGTAAATTCACTTCGAAACACTATACGTTACAGTGTTTTTCTAGCTGTTGAATTAAAACAGCGATTTAAAACCATGCGTATTTTTAAGCAAATATCAATCGTTTGTTCAAAGTTTGCTCATTTTTGTTGGGCACATAAGACTTGAGACATTATTGCAATGGATGGTGAGCCAACATCCAAGAAGAAATTATCGGCTGCTGAAGATTAAAACACTGGATTCCTATACGTGGTGATTTTCCAAAAATTTGCTGGTCACAGAGTAACTGGATATTTGTGTTGTGCAACGAATTCTAAAATTCTGGTATCAGTAATTGGTGCCGTCTGCGAATCAAGTTAGATGCATCCACAACATCATCACCGAGATTGTGATGCGCGATTAAGTGACAGGATGGCACGGGTTAACGTTTGACGGCACCTGGCAACTTACTGTCAAGTGACTAATAAACCAGACAGTGATTGGTCGACCATTGGATTTAACAGGAGGTAACTCCAAAATTATGCGAGTTTATCAGAGGATTAGTTCCTCTGTTATGCGAAATAAAAGCCATTCTATTGACAACCGACCTGCATATCTCCCTGTCACCTGCGAGAATTTCAGTAGTTTAAATACTTATTCTTGCAAGACCTCCATGTGTTTTCTGTGTTTCTGAATGCGGGAAAAGTCACATTAATGAAAACCACAAACTCTAAGTGGCCTGGAAAGCTTGCTTAAAAATGTGGCTTCCCTGATTGACATGGCTGCTAACTTAGTAACCAATTACGACTGCTAATCCACTATCCAAACCCCAAAGCAATGGAAATGCGACGAAGTGGAACACATTATGTAAACGATAGTTTAACGAACCGTAGGATTCTTTCTACTCCTACCCGGACGTTGCAAAGTAAGGAGACGTTGGATTGAGTAGGAACATGATCGTCGGTCAGTCGTTGAAGTTTTGCATCTTTATGCAATGCACAACTTTTTCGACAAGAGTCAGTTATGGCAATGTTTACAGTGTTTACAATGTTTACAATGTGTTTACAATGTTTATTCAGAAAAAAGGGTGAGCCATACTGATATTTGATCATTATGCGTGCACGCCTGGAAATTCCCGAAAAAAGAATAAGTCCTGGTGCTGCATAATAATTCGAGTGTTAAGAATTGTGTGATAATCCCTGAATTTACAAAGAGAAACAAATATTCCACAGCGAGCAACCAATGGTAAGTACGTTCACAACCAAGGGGACAATATTTACATTGGGTGGGCTTGTGAGGACACCCTGAGTGAAGCACAATGACCACTTGGATTGAGTCTGCAGTGCGTAGGTTTTCTTTGAGAAAACATGTGTAGGATGAATACGAGGCAGAACTACTGATTTGCTATAAATCACGCTTCAGTTTCACTCGCGTAGACAGGAACTCATGCATCACCACAATGCGTACCTTCAAAATATTTGTGATATGATTAATGTTTGAATACGCTCTAGACTTTTGAACATATGCTGGAGTAATAGATTATTAGTTGAACCATGCTTTGTGTCGGTGCAACCTCCATATTTACACGGTCCTCAGATGTACAAATTTTATAGTTGAACGAGTTTTCATCTCAAAAAAACCCACTACACGCTTCTTGTATTAAGCGATCGAATTTGATTCGTACCGGGTTTCAAACATTACCTAGGAGCGCCTTATTAGGATTGGATGCTCGCGCTTAACTGTTATTGAGAAGTACAACTGGTAGAAACTGTGTAATATTCGTTGGCTCCCATCCTGCAGATCAGTGAAATATGGTGATTCTTGCCAAAGTTTAACTTCAGTAAAGAGCATGACATTTTATTACAATATTGCATTTTGTCACAACCACAGGAACCGCTGAGAGTTCGGTGGACAAAGAGTCACTTTGAGCCTTGGCATCCCACGTTTCGGCCTTATTGGCTTAGCTTCTCATTGCATTTTCGGTACGTTTTCATGGAAGGGGCCGATCTGATAAGCTGAGCTGAATTTTTCCGTAGACCATATTCAATTCATGAAGAGTTTGCAGGACAGCGCATCAATAGTAAATAGAAGAAAAACCTAGATATTGAATTCAGTTTGGTTGTGGAAGGTTTCTTCCATGAGGAAACGCCTGTGTAAGCAAAACTTTATAAGCAGCGTGGGTATCCTAACTTTTGGATTTTCATTCAGAGTAGAGCATTTTCATTGAACTGTAATTAAAGACTACTGGAAACAGATGAGTTTATTCGTTGTTTTGATCATCACTGTTTACATTCGCTAGGAACAAAATAGTCGGAATTATACAGAGTGAAAAAAGGCGTCAGACTGGCGCCAAACTGTGTATGCTGAAGCTGGAGTCAGATAGCCAGGGAAAATTGACGAGCGAAGGTTCAAAGACTTGCAGCAGGTCACCGTTCATGCTAGGTATGATGAAATGGTGACGAGAGCTGGCATCAGCTGTTCATATTTCATTTCTTTCATTCGTCAATACCTTTGGTGATTGGTGTAATATCGCACTTGATGTTGCGGCACCACTACTTTTAGAGAGTCGCGCACTGGCGCACAATCGAAGTGGTATTCCAGTGTAAGATTTTAGAAAAATTCCGGGTGGGCACCAATTCAAAACTGAAATTTATCTCGGTCCACGTGTTAAAGTTTAGTAAGAAAGGCTTGTTGGAACATATTCAGGACCAATACAGTCAGTCACAGCAAAACGCAAATGCGTCATTATTTCGCACAAACCCATATGGTCCTGGCTACACCATCGCAATCGAGCCCTATTCTAGTAGGGGAACAGAGCTGGATAACAACATGAGACGGAAGTTCCCATGCTTGGGCAGATATAATTTCTGCAAGCTCATCTATCTAGTGCCCGAAGACCCTGTGATTCACCATAGAAAGCTGACGATTGTCAAACTTACCTAAACACCACTCCGATATCCAGTACTTAAAGGTTCCCGATTTCTCACGAACATAGGTAAATATATTGCCGGATGATGTCCACTTATGAATAAGTAACACGGAATGTATGGATTCTGGGCTCACTTATCAGCCATAATGTGTCCAATGTGCCGTAATGTCGAATTAGATGCAAAATCATGTACATACAAGAGTGAAGAAAGTTCTTTGTCATTCTTATCCGAAAAATAACATGTCTACATGGCTTCCAATGAGTTTCGAAGTGAGTTCTCTTTCTGGCCCTTGCATTCATCCTCAGTGGCTCTACTTAAGCTATCCGCGCAATGGAACAGCCTCTTCCAGATGTACACGTACCTTACTGCTGTGCTCCATATATTGTCGAATTGTTTGACTTTTATCTATAACTAGGGCAGTCTATCAAATAAACATTCTGACAACGATTCGTTGGCTAAGGAATGGGCGCACATTCTTCCTACAAGGTAATGAGAACAAATATCTAGGGTTCAAGAGCGATAATTTTAAATTTGACTGCATTAAATGATATTTATATATCATGCAACACGTACTTTAAACTACAAAAGACCCTCCAGTGCGATATTTGTTAACGTAATTTTTTTCTTTCCCACCCCCTGTTAGCATGCCCAAAAGAGGGCTACATGGACTCTTGAGAGTGTAATTCGTCCCAGCAGTGTGAAAAAGCATCCTCCGTGTGTAATCCTATTCTCTTCTATCTTTGGCATTTCGACGCGTGTGCATTTTCATCTACCGTGAATCCATCATCTCAGTTGTATTCCAGATGTCTAGGGCCTCGGAACATTTGGTCAATATGCTTGCTTGTCACTTGGCTAGCTGGGCTGTGCCAGACGGAATTTGTCATAAGTCTCATTTATTCCGATTTTTGCAAAATGAACTAGTTAAGAAAGGATCCCGAGGCTCATTTATGTACGCAGCCAAGAGAAAAATAGCACGTGAGTTCGAAAACGGATGAGCGGGTGGAATGCATGCCGGTGATTTGTGCGTGCCCAGTAGCTTCGTTAGTATTTAGGACAAACTGCACATCTAAGGTCCCACCTCATCATTGCTAATTCAGTAGCTCACCACTTCATACATGGGTAAAGTCAGCTTACGAACAATTTGCTGAAGTTCCACCCCCCATAATCCAGTATGTTGACAGTTTGGAGACAATCCAGACTTTCAGACTCTGACATATATTAATTCAACTAACCTCATCACGCTTGACTGCAATGTGTGTGAATATCACAGTGAATCGAATCAATATCTGTGATATCGTTCATTCAGCCAAACCGCTTAAAATTGGAAGCGCTGCAGAGGGAAATGCCTGAAGCCGAGTGGATTCTTCACTTATGGACAAGGACATAGCGGTTGCCGGAACTTGAAAATGCTCAACATTCTTGGTTTCACATACTGCATCTTTAATTTTTTTGACCGCTTTGTGACAAACAAGACTGAAAACTTAACGCAAAATTTCGAGTGACAGTAGGGTAACGGCGCAGCTACCGAAAAAGGTTACATTCCCACCAGACCTTGCAATTCACGAAAGCGGAAGGCATTCTGATGCAAATCAACCTGGTATCGGTTACCGTCTAAGGAAATCCACACGCCAAACCATTTTTTTCGCCCTCTACAGAATTTCTCCAGTTCTGACATGTCGTAAGAACTACATGATGATCGTCGAAATATGATGTTATTCTTCTGGTTCGAATTATATGAACACGTTCAACAACCGCTTTATTGCCGTGAACGTAATCGTATGCGAATAGAAATTATGCGTGTATATGAAGGTTCCAAGGTGGGCGTCATCAAAATCTGGTTCGTTTGCCAAGATTGGTCTTTGCAGTTGTACATATTGGGTGACGGTGATTTTGGACGTTTCTTGTACACCTAGTCAGATGCATATCTGGTAGGTTGTATATCAACTCTGAGCTTCTCACCTACGAACAATTGTGCACAGCGGTACGTCCACAAGTATTATGGACTCGGGTGTATCAGGTTACTTATTGCTGGGATGTGCTAATTACTTCTTACTTGCTGTGTGTCATCATTATACGTGGTATTTCTCCAAACTCCTAGCCACAGTGCGCGTATCATCACAACTCATCGACAGAATTTGGAGATCCAAAGACAGTTAAATGCGTAAAAAGACCGACGAAAGTGTTTGACCAATATTAAATTCTTACCAGAGGACTCAAGAGATAATGGTCCCTTCAGATGATGATATTTAGCATGCGATGATTTGATTGATCCTCATTATGGATTATTTCTTCCTGAGAAGGGGAAATTTCCATCGAACGAATTAACGTACTCAAATTCACGTATCTCAGGATTGGAGACAATTTTATCTTGTAAATGCGAATCTCTCCAATAAGGTACAGAGCGTTGCCCATCCCCTCCTGTACTAACCACCTTCATCACGCAAAATATCACAGAAAAAGACCGGCACTCTACAAAGAGCACATGAAAGGTCACCACATGATAGAGCGGTGCACTTTTGAGTTTGCATATGCGCAGCCATATGCAGATATAAGGTTCCATGGGCTTACGGAAGACTGTAGGCTTTGACTTGCAGAAACGTTCGTCCACATGCGAATGGATCGAATGAAGTAATTACCAGTCAGAGTACTACGCCTGCGGCCTAGAAAACTTGCTCGTAATGTGCTTGGGCATGGCTGCTACTCATTGAAATTGCTCCTGTCCAACCCGGCTGAACAGTCTAGAGTATGACTTTTTGTCAATGGGACCGAACGGCCTCGGAAATTCATGTGATCTGGTGAACTCTAGGGTTAGGGTGCATACATTATTTTGTTTCAGAGGGTTTGGTGTGAAACATATCGTCAAATTACGTAGACCGGCATTCTGTCTCAAGTGCTGAGTTGATGGCGTAACACACGAGGATGATACACCATTCTGCAATATCCTTACGGGCTTGAACAAACTCGAAAGCAAAACAGAATGCTGATCTGGTGTCAGACTGAAAAAAAAAATCAATGGAATTAACTTCTCAAATCACCTTTGCAAATAGATCGTAACTGAATGACCCCCGGAGTAGTCGCTACTCGAAGGTGCAGCTGGTGTCTGATTGGGTATCCCAATTGGTAGTTGATCAGGTAGCTGTTGATCTTTTTGCCGAGCTTGGAAATTGACTCTTAGACGTTTCATCATTTCTCGAACAGACATCATCGATGCTTGTTGAGTGGGTGGGTCTCGCAAATATCGCGGACCATTGTGGGTTAGTCAAAAGTGAATTTGGAGCCATTTGGTGAGAATAAAACGGGAAAAGTACTGTTTGCAACAACAATATACGCCCTTTCTTAACAAGGTAACTCAGAATTAGTTCGGGTTAGGAGTGTAAACTTTCCTCATGAAAAACATTGAAAATCAGGTACCTCTTATGAATGTTATGGAAGCAAATCAAAGCGAAGTAGAAGCCCTGTTGAATAGACTGACCATCATACCATCTTTTGGCATGCGCCTTGCACCTTCGAACCGCAAAGTCATGCTTCAGAATGTGCAGTCTGCGAATTCAAGGAGAATCACTGGAGGTTGTGGAAAATTTTACATACTTCAATAGTTGTTTTAGTTCTGACGGAGGTATGTCTGATGAAGTCAGTTCAAGAACCTCAAAGGCTCGAATCATTTTTGCTAATTTGCGTCACTTGGGGCATCAAAAAGGCCTATCACTAGATCTTAAGGCTACAAGGCTATATATAGTAAAGTCTGCGTTGTATGGGTGCGAGACGTAGCCCCTGTGGACAGATGATGTGAGGCGTCTTCAGGTTTTCGACCACCGATGCCTCAGAAGCGTGGCTGGTTTTGGATGGCGTCAGCGTGTTAGTAACACGGTGATTAGAAAACGGGTACTTGGTTGTGCAGCAGATATTTCACTCGGGGAAAACATCCAACACCAGCGACTACGCTGGCTCGGTCATGTGCTATGCATGCCGAAACACCGTCTACCAAGACGAGTGTTGTTCTCCATGCCTCCTTTAGGATGGTGCAAACCGCGAGGTGGACAACGCATGACTTGGCAGAGGTGCGTGAAAGAGACCACGAAGAGTTTGGGTGTTGGTGGTGTTGTACGCCTTCCAGGATCGGGTCCTCGTAACCCCACCTGTGACTGACTGGAGACGTTGCATGAAATGGTGGCTAATCGATGTCAGTGGCGTTCGTTTTCTCAGTTTCTTTCCAGATTGACTGATTGAGCGATTGGAGGTATGGGCCCCTTAGAACGCTTGACATAGGCCAACACTAGGTCCCCTCCTTCACCCACTCTTTTTCTCTTCTTTTCACTTTAGGACTTTAAAAATAATTAGACGAACATTATGGTTGTACGGCAATGGAGCATCAGTGTCAACAGTGATGTTGCTGTCTTTGATGATGATATAGTAGATAGTAATTACTTGGATGGCTGATCAGATAACAGGAAAAACATGGAATTTTGACCATACTTTCGCCGAGTGCGGCTTTCAATGCAAGCATCAAGCAAATTCAACAAAGAGCGATCACAGTTATTCGAACGCTGTCGATTTCACTCTCGCCCGACAGGGACGTCGTATGCTGCACATTATAATCAATATCGATTACTTGGCGGACGTTTTCTCAGGATTTCTGGATAGTGTGACATTCGCATTAGCAATCAGAGAAATTAAATCAACAATGGAGTTGCCGAGAGAAGAGAGATATTTTATCCATAAAAATCGATTGGCTGGGTCCTCGGCAATCAGCACGATTAGACCTATTTTCCTATTTTGAACCTGAAGCGCATTTCAAGCCTTAGTTTTCCTAGTACGCCAAAAGGTTTGTTTTAAACAATGGCCTAAGAAAGACTACCCATAGTATATAACTCTTCTATGACCTGGTTCTACGGACCTTCGTCTTTCAGGTGAGTTTCAGTCTGTAATGTCATCCAAACACTCTTGATTCCGATGACTGGAGTTCTTCCGGAATGATTAGTCACATTATTGCCTGAACTGAGACACCATTATCTTATCATGAACAAGAAAAAGAGGAGAACTAAACAATTGTGATTCATAAGATCCTGAAAAATCTGTTATTTTTAGTCTCTTATGGGTTGTACTGGAGACGTTGGTTACGTTGTATGTTACAAGACGAGGAATGTGAGTTTTTATTCATGTAAAAACTATGATGAAGTTTCAGCCTACTGTGTTATGAGGATCCAAATAAGTCTGTTGAAAAAGGAACTGTAGATAAGAGCAGAAACTTGTTGTGTCCTTTGACAGTTACTAGTTGCCTAACTTCCTCGAACATAATCGCACTTCATAAGAGAAAGATATTCACAAAACGTGCTTTTTCGGGGTTTCTTATTTGCACTAAAATTCAAACATATTGCACCATATGGTGGATATATGCTAGAGAGAATTCTTTAGTAGACGTGTTCCGTTTTGACCACGATGATTCTCTCCTTATTCACTTGTTTCTTAATTTTGCAAGAGGCGAGTTGCAGTCTTCCAGTGTGGTACAAACCGTGATTAACGAAGGCAACAAGCACATCAGGCAGTGAATTGGTGCCTTGGAGACCAAATTTTTGCTGGAAAAATGAAAACTAGCATCCACTAGAATGAAAGGGGAGACCGAGGTCCATGGTTGAACTTCTCTTGTCATTGCCGGATGTACTTTGTCTAGACTTCCGAAGTCTGGGGTATTTCGTTGACGAAACTGATCCAATATTTCCAAAATGAACTGGAGGATGTACCTAATTCTCAACGTTCTCTAACAAACAGTCCCACATAAATGAATTTAAAACATTGCCGGCACCATTTTGCTCCATTTCCACTTCTGGTTACGATTTCTTAAATCAATTTGCACCCGCGAAAAACACTGCCATCAGCAATCTCGTTTCAAAACATGGAATCATACATCGCTTCAGTTTTTTTAATAGCAAAGTGGTAATCCAAAATCTGCGCATGAACGACCAGTCTGATTGCATACTAGTTCAAAACAGGCTAATCTACTCTATCAGTGTCACCTTGCTGGAGGAAAACGGCGTCCGTTCGAGCGAAATGATTGAGTGTGGGTCTCACATGTGTTCTGTTACGTCAAAAGTGGAAAATAGCATAATACATATACTTTCCTGATTGATCTCTCTATATAAATGAGCGGTCTTCTCTTAATTTTGCCTTGACCACACAGTAAACCAGTTCAGCATAGGTTCATTCTGGACTACTTCTATGGACAGGTTGCTCAAATGGAACGGATTGTTGGGAGTCACGAATCAGCTCTAGACTCAAGCTAAGCTTAGGGCTCAGGGGTATACTCTCTGCACAATATATATATATATATATATATNTATATATATATATCTTGTCATCCAGAAATATATTTTGACAGACTACTTTCAGTTATATTTGCAGCCAACCGGATGAATCTGTAGTGGTAAACGGCCCTATGGAGCCTCTAGTGAACAGAACAAATTACTAATGTAAGCCAGATACAAAGTCACGAGGAGATAAATCCAAGTAAATTTTAACTCACAGTTCAAAATAGGAGATTCCGTAGTTCCGTATTTCGTTAGACCACCACACCAAGAGAAGTTCTATCTTCCAGGTATTCCAAATCTCCGGTGATCGCAATATTAATCCACAGATGTGAATAAATTTGTCCAGCGTTTGTAGCTAAAATGTTTCTTCACGTTTAGAGTTAGTAACAGCCAAATATAGCCAACCGGCAGTCACAACAACAGTCACTCAGCAAAAGTCTCAAAGTCATGTTGGACCCAAAAAGCGGGCGGTTGCGATTGTATTTAAGCAAAACAAACTTTTGTACAGTAATGTGACTAATATTGATAGGGAAAAGGAAGATGATACTGAGCATGAAAAATAGCAGTTTACAAATGCTATACAAACATATATATATATATATATACATGATTTTCGTCATTATATCCAAGCGCTTTGGCAAGATGGAGTGATATCGACTGAAGAGTACACAGAGATCCAACGCTTCTGCAGCAATCCATATCAGCATTCGCAACGTACTCTGCAAGCTTTATTGATTCACATACGCCTGTCCATTTCGGCGTTAGAAACACCATAATCAATACTACGACTTAGTCTTCCGTTTCTAATTGCTTACAGCAGAGTCGCACTTGATGGAGATGATTTGAATCAGCAGTTATATGGTAAGACCCTAATAAAATCAGAAACTCCTATTTCACTTCAACCATAGGTCTCATCCTAAAAAGACCAAACCAGTTAGTTCGTCGTTGGGCTAAATTTCTCAACACTATCGCCTATAAATCGCCGATACTAATGACAGTAATTCTTCGAGGGTTGTAAGAATCCTCTTCTTATTTGATAAGAGCCAAAGTGGTGGTGCTGAATACCTTCCACATTGACGTTTGGATCACAGCTCAGCGGTTCCCCCTGTTATGATAACTAGAGCTGAACAGCGGTGACGCGACGGGGGCTTAATGACTGCACACAGTGAGTGAAAACCAGTAAGGTGGGGTCAGATGACGAAAGTTGGGACGGTTATATCGAGACCGGTCATCAGTTGTGAGTCTAGGCACGAAATTCAAGATGACATGCACTAGAAGCAGTGTACTGAGCGAGGCAAAGTAAAATAATCGTGAACTTAACATTTTAATTCATGTGGGACTAAAACCAAGGTCAAGGAGTTACCATATTAGCGGGAGATTAAGTAATACTTGTTTCTGAGTGTTCACAGCGGCCAGATCCGTAACGAGTTCGATGTATAGACTAAACACAAAAACAGTTGAATTCATCAATCTCATATTACAGTAAAACAATGAACCGATAGGCTGGTACTTTGCAAACACCCACCTCTTGCGCCGTATTTGTGTTGCATTTCGGACAATAATGAACGAAAACAGTAACTTTATTGAACATCGCAAGCCAGAGTTTTCCTGTGAACACCCATGCACTCAAATTACCGTAGCTTAGCTGAATCCCAGACACTATGAGAAGCCTTCATCACTAGACTGATACGAAATGGATCAGTTTGAAAGCTGAGCGTTACCAACTTGGGGTCAGTTAAGGAAAATTATGTCAAAATGTGATAGTACATCAGCTTCCCAGGGAATTGAACTCATGAGGTGACTCAAATAATCAGTGGTTGCAAAAAAATATGGATAACCATTTGAGAGTCCTTGGACAGGGATTTTTAGCCTAATGGGCTGGGTCGTCGGCGTCCTTCCTGCGGAGGTCCTGCTATTCAACCTGGAGAATTCGCTATTATTGAGAATTTTGTTACTCGTTTTTTGGCAGCATTGTGGTTCATGAAGTTTTCACAAGTTTAAAGTGTCCATCACATAGTGACCTTGAACCTCAACAACAAATGTTGTATTGGGAGTAGTCCTAATGTTGTTCAGACACAAGTTATTTGTAAAACGGCCACGGAACGATAAAGCGTGAAGCGCTTTAGTTCAACTCAACACAGCCATGAACATAAACATGTCAGAGTGACGGATGATATTTTCACAATCTCAGTGGGCAGTAAGGCCAATTGTGCTGTTTGTCTGGTGCGCATCGTATGTGGCCTATTGTCAGCTGTCGACAAAAATAGACCAATCCGTATATTACCCATTCATTCCCAATGAACACAATCACGGTACGAAGCAGAAAAACTTGTTTGGAAGAGAAAATTATTTCAAAACATCGTACTTGTCAGTACTAAGCTGATCTAGGGCGAGATGGACTAAGTGGTTAGAGCGCGAATTTACTGACCGGAAGGTTCGTGGTTCGAACTCGACCTCTGCCACTCGACTTCCTCTGCCTATGCTTGGGCGACCTGGCAGTATCCCAGCCCTTGCGCCTCCTTCGTGTGTCATGGTAGCTCAACACCGAAAGGGTGCTACAGTTGAGCTATCTTTATTTTTTCTAGTTTGTAATCTTTGAAGGGGGAACGTAAAGGTTCAGTATCATGAGACTTCGTCTTCGTTTGAGTACTGCTGCTCTTTTGGTGAAGGTCACTGAAACTTCTAGAAGAAAAAGTCCCATTAACGGTACGGTTTTGTCGCTTTCTCAGTGTGACAAGTGAGCAGCATTATGTCCGGGGGCGTTTAGCCCCATACTCTCCTGTGTTTATACGTATATGGGAATGACTACATTTTTTTCCTTTTTTGGGTTCCCTGAGGGTTGTTGTGGCATCTAGCCTTCTTCTTGTGTAGGCATGATACGTCTTCTTTTTAGTTTACCGAATTCAGGAATCAGACAAAAAACTACAACACCATGTGTTCAGTTGTGGCATGGTGCCTAGTTGCTATGCCTCTAAAAGGAGGTATATGAGCTTTGATACTGTCAGTTTGCCCATTCCTGGATGCGAGTGACTGAAAAGCCAGTAATGGGTTAGAATTTTGGATCTTCTGGTGAGCTGCTTCGCAACTTAACCTCAGCTATCTTTAGCTTGCTGAGAGAATCACACTCGTACCCCTACTACCTACTATCAACATTCACGTGCACCGGAATAAGTGCTCCAACGTCGCAGTTCATTCTTGGCACTATATACATATACATATATGAGGTGTCTCATAATAAACGCCAAATAAATTAGGTAATTAAACGTAGCCAATTTGAGAAAAGATGACAAAAATGTTTTATTAATAGTAGCCACATAAAGAAGGTTTTGTGTGCAAGTGTTAACGTTTTTTGTTACAGGATGGATGTCAGCACGCGCACTGAAATACTGAAACCCAATTATTCTCTTGATGAAAGCGCCACCGCTGCACTTCGTGGGTACAAAACCAAACATGGTCTCATCAAAAATCAATTCACCGTGTCGACCATTACACGACTGATTGCGAAATTTGAGTCCGTTGGATTTGATTTTCCTGGCAAAGGGAGAAAGTCTCTGAGTGATGGAAGAGCGCCCATTCTACAGAATCCCGTTGAGCAACTTCAGTCCCAGAGCACCATGGCATCTTCGTCAATAATTCAGGTGTCTCAGTTGACTGGCATTCCCCGCGCCAGCGTGCATCGTGTTATGAAACGCCACCTTGGTGGAGTTAAGAACAAGAATTGAAGAGGAGTGTGCACGAGTGACGCTTGAAGAATTCGGACATGCTGTGTCCCACAACTCATACCGCCTCTAACTTATTATAGAAGAAAGGGCAGCTTTTTCCAAAAGTTTTTGTAATGTCAGTTTACTTTTAGTAGAACTCCATAACGCACGTATGTTTGTATAAAAAATAATATATGTTTAAATTAATGTTAAAGTAAAAGACATGAATATAATTTTTTGCGTTTATTATGAGACATCCCGTATATGTATAACTCTCGTGTTCTGTCGCATGGAAAATTTGTATCAGCCGACCACAACCAAAACGAAAACACACGTCAGATGGTGTAGCCACTGCCCTAAAAAGTCCACGGATGTCCATTCTCCAACTTCTTCCATCAAAATAGCTAAGAAACTGCTTAGTTTCAATGAACGTCTTTTCGTTTATGCAAAAGCCGCACTTAAACAAAGACCACTTTCAACTTCCAAAGCGTGTTATTTACAGAGGAGATTATCGCACCGCGACAAGAGTATGAGGGTTCACAAGACTATGATTACCAAACTGTGTTTGCCTACTGTTCAAAAAGGGAAACAAATGAGCAAACACCCATTCAAAAGCTACTTTTATACTGAGCAGATTTAAAGAAACTAAATTCACAAAGGTCCAAGCCTAATCCTGAAAGACGGCAAACAAAAAATCCCAAAAATTGAAAGTATACTAGATTGTTTCGCCGTTTTGTCCTCTCCGTCTCAGGTTTTACATGAACTCCTTCAACGCTCAAATGTGTAAAAGTGGCTTCTGATTTCCAAACGAAAATTCTTTGTGGACACTAGCGTTACCCGATGAACCGTCTTTCGACGCTGCCTATCAATTATACTACTTAATTGGACAATGACGGAAACAGGAAGCAGCTGGTTGATTTTTTGCTAGTGCGGATGAATTGCAGCATGCGTGTTACATTGAAATGGGGAGAAAATAAACAGTGGAATTAGTAGGCGTAATTATGACGTCAAATTTATTTATAGTCTCCCATTCTTGATTGACTTTAAACGTCGGCAGTTGTGCCTGTGAGAAACACCTTGTAGAAACTTGATTCGAAACCGTTGTTTGACTAGCACAAACATTTTGTGGTGCGATCCATCCACTCAGACTTAATTGGTACAGGCAGCGAAACTTCACAGCTTTTATTGACACTGTGTAAATTGGAGTTGTCTGTCTGGTCTTCGAGAGTTCATTTTTATTACTTGGTAAGTAGGTTAGCTTTCGGTGCTTTCCATTGGTCTTGAGTATTCAAGTACCCGCTAAAAAACGTGTTAAACGGTGCCGACGGCAACATTGTTCCGACACAGATTGTATCAACTAAGTGCAGTTAAACATACCCCACCAACAACCCAGTAAAAGTAACGTCTCTATCTGCCTGATTTTAAATTTCCAGATCTATCCACTTGTTTTATTGTTTTTCAAGATATAAGTCCCCGATGGGTACATTTCTCAGGAGTTAAAAACACCTACCCTCAAGTAATTATTGAGAAATAAATAGCTATATACTATAAAAAGCATTCGTTTTTCATAAAATTCATTGTTTATAAAATTCGCCTCCAAAGTAGCTAACACATTTTGCTGGCTAGCTTAAGCTTAGTTTGGGTCCACGAGTGAGTGCATTTTCATGGTGAAATTTCGTTTACTAATTAGAGTTTCAGTACTGTAATCCGATTTATATCAATGTCCCAGCCAATTATACCTGTTTGGTTTTGGGTGGAAGCATCGTTTTCATGACATTTAAATTCTGGTGGAAACAGTGTGCCAAAATGGTCTACAATTTATTTTGATGGCAAGAGAATATGAGATTCGTGTTCTTTGTTTGTAAAAACACGCTTTTTAGTCAACATTTGTAGTCCTAACGTTCTTAATTCAGACAAACGCAGAACCCGGGTGGATAGATCAGAGGGTACGCATTTGAAGGACCTAGTTTCGTTGACATATCACTGCGTCTACACATGCAAAAATAATATATATGGAAAACAAGGTGAACTGACAGTTGCTCATTGTATAGTAGCTTATTTTTTCATTACTAGTTCCGTTTCTCGTGTTCGTTATGGTTTTAATCAACTCGTTATGAGTGTATCCACCAAATTTGGTTTCCAGTGGGATAAAACGAGAGAAAAAATAACTCATAATTAGAAATCTAAGGAAAAGCGCGTTAGTGTGTTTTGCTCCATGTGGTGCACATCCCTCATCGGTAGCATTACCTCAGTCGTCATTATGAACCTACCAGTCCCAAGCTGACCTTGAATGGAATGGGACCGAATTGTTTTCCCACATTAGATTCAGTCGCGTTAAACGTTTGTATACAAGGCGCTAAAGCGCGAAATCGACTGCCATAACTTATGTGCAGCGGTAAAGCTCCTGTAAAGTACGAATGAGTACAATTCAGTTTGCAAAGACATTCCGGTAATTTGCGTGAATTAAACTTTTTGAAAAAAATTACGATAAGTGATATCCAGGCACCGCAAGACCTAAATGGGTGTGCAATGCATTCACCGATTGCGGATGCAATGCATTTCATTTATATGTCGCACTTGTTAGTTCATCGTTCTCATCTTTAGGGACGGAAACACGGGCGGTGGCACTGATTCATCCCTCTCGTAAAACCACAAATTATATATGATCATTTATATGTCGCACTTGTTAGTTCATCGTTCTCATCTTTAGGGACGGAAACATGGGCGGTGGCACTGATTCATCCCTCGCGTAAAACCACACAGTATATTTGACTATACCTAAAGACCTAAATCGAAAAGAAGAGAAGAGAGTAGGTGATGGAGGGACCTGATGCTGGTCTATCGCAAGCATTCCGATGTGCTTTCACCTCCGATCAGTCAGTTGGTCAATCAGTCAATCAATCAATCAATCAATCAATCAATCAATCAATCAATCAATCAACCGATCGCTCAATCAGACAATATGAAAATAAATTAACAGCGTGAGCGCCACTGATATCGAATAATAGCCATTTGTTGCAGTGTCTTCAGTCAACAGCGATACCTCTCATGGAAGGCGAACTCCGCCACCAACATCTAAACTCTTAGTAATCTATTACACACCTTTCTACCGAGCCATACATTGTCCATCTCACGGATTCTCCCATTCTGTAATATGCACGGAGACCAATCCTCGTTTCGGTAGACGATGCTCTGGCATGCGGAGCACAAGGCTGAGCCATCTCAGACGATGGTGCCGGATGTTTTCCCGCGACTGATTTACCAGCTACATACTCACATACTCGTTTATCAATTACCTCTTTACTGAATCCGTTGACGTCATTTGATATCATTAATGGAGGTAAAAAACCTGGAAATGTTGTATATTTGTCTACAGAGGGTATGCATCATAGCTCTGTAACAGTACAACCCATCCTGGTATGCAGGACTCTTGAGGCCCAGTGATGTCTTTTTTGACGTCACAATTGACGCAAAATAGCAAATGTCTTTGGGGTTCGCGCACCGGCATCATCAAACACAAGACTGTCTGAGTTAATATGCACTCAAACAGAAATACTCACCAGTAGACATTTCACGTTTGTGCCGCCTGTGCCTATTTGTGCCTGCTTTTCCATCAGCATCCGTTTCCATCCTTCGGGTTGAATTTCACACTACAATCCATCCACTATTTCCCTAACGCACAAACACGTAATACCGTGTTCAACGCAGTTTCATTCCTCTAATGCTTACAAGTGGCCTCCATTCAAAACTACAACACTGCACATCCACTTTGGGGTCCTTTAACAGGCATCATTGAGCGCTCTATTATTGTTCTTATTGTAAATAAGTAAATTGATTATCAGATGGCAAACACTAACAAATGTGTTTTACAAGAATGATGATTGCAATAGTTAGTGCACTTGACAAAAATAAACACAACTCAAAAAGGGGATGAACCAAAAAGTTACCTATCGTTTGAGACAACGTTTAAGTGTTCCTGAGTGAATTTCCGGACGTGAGACGTGTTTTCTATGCAGTATAGCTGCTACGCGTGTTTCGAAGTTATCCGTGGAGGCTTGTGGAGCTCGGTTGACCTCCTGCTCTGTGCACGCGTGTGTTGGACCAAGTTGCATGCCTATTTATTGTGCGCAGTGTGAAGAGAGGGATGTCCATTCATGTTTGATAATGCACGAACACAACTTGACCTGATGCGGTTGAATTTCGTAGGCCGTGGTACGTGACAGGTGGGCTGAACAGTTGTGCTCAAATCAGGGGGGTGTCCATTCATGTTTGATAATGCACGGACATAACTGGACCTGATGTGGTTGAATTTCGTAGGCCGTGGCACGTGACACAGGTGGGCCGAACAGTTGTGCTCAAATCAGATGCCTATTAGCGGCACAATGCTCTTAGCTGCAAAACCTTTGGAAGTGGAACAGAACTTTTGCACCAAGATGTTGCATTTTGTTGCGTATGTACTCAAATAAAAAACCACCCTAATCTACACTCATATTTTTGCTGCTCATCAAATTTCATTGTCCACTGAATCAATCATACCTATGGCAAAAACGTCTGGTGAAACAATTTCCTAGTATCGCTGAGGCTCCAAGATGCTTAAATGGGGCTCAGAAAGTTGAACTGGTACTCTAAACTCAATTGCCCGATTGCTTTAATCCATCAGGGACACGTCATAGCTTTCGGAAATTCTATCCCATTGTGCGAATACTGAGTGCCTTCAAATCACTAGCAGAAGATTCATATGTTTGAAGCTCCCTACTTAAGTTTCGTGGGAGACTCACTGCCAAAGATTCCCACTGGAGATAAAACAGCTTTACAGTGCTTCTTGGCTGCTCAGTATAGACTGAATTTACTTACAAGACCAAATCTCAAATAAAAATTCCCAACCCCCCCCCACTCATCCTGCCAACACAGACGACCACATTTGGGGCTCATCTGGTAGAAAGTTGAGGAAATCAATCCTTAACTTACTTTTGAGTTGATGTGCACAGTACTACTGATCAGCAGTTACTTTATCAGGTCTCCAGCCCCAACAGACTTATCAACTATAAAAGTCCATTTTTTTCGGTTCTTTTGAAGATACTTATGAGTCTCATGGGTGGTTTAACCAAACGTTTGCAACACAATGAAAAAAACACGCACATTCATTGACCCTCCTTGGCATTTAAAACGTTTGCTTTGAAGCCATAGAATATCGAGATTTAAACTCTATTTTTGTACAGTTTGTGTTCGATGTGTGTGTGTGTTGCAGCAGCTGCAGTTGTGCGCAGCGACATGGACCCACTACCTTGTTCTTTTCACTGCACTAGTTAGTTTAATTTGTGTGGGAAATACTACTCACAGCACATGAGACAACGGAAGGCGTTTTACATGTAAACATCAGTTATCAATGACAATTCCATCCTCTGGTGTCACAACCCAACAAAAAACTCGGCTAAACTCATTCCTTCTAGTGTTACAACCTTCGATGGCCCTAAGCAGTAAGTTTGTTTGATATTCGTGCTTGTTGCATTTTCGTTTGAATGATACGTGCTGTGCCATAACTCGTCACTCGTGCACGAAGCTACCGGCCGGTTCCAGGTTTAATCGCTAAGTGGTAACTAACATTTTCGGCAGCATGCAGGATGAAACTTTTGCCACCAGGTATGAGCTTATCACCCAAGTATGCGCAAATATCAAGTGTCCAGCTGGTTTAGAATCGCTCCCCCTCCATTTCGCCTCCTTGAAAGAGGAAGAAAATCTTATTTGGTGAGATAGTGTTATCTCCGTCGAAAAAGGTAACCTAAAGTGGGCGACCGAAAACGGTCTACTCTACGAATTGGTTCGTTTTGAATGACAACCTTCTATTGGATTCCCACGCAACACGCTTGTTCGCTGAAAGCCTAACTTCAGGTTACAGTAGGACCCAAATGAAATATCTACTAAAATAGCGCTGCCAGAGCGAGCGCGGTATCCTGGATATCGACTATGCATATGAAGGATGGGGCACCCGATTTTCCACAGAGGTTGGTTTACGATTACACACTGTCTGGTGTAACCAGGCCTATAGTAGTGTGTCACACTATACTATACTACACTACTCCGTACTATGCTGTACTATACTCTGTACTCACTGTGACATACTTCATTCTACCACATTTTGCTCTACTCTACCATACTCTGCTTTAGTGTACTGTACCGTATAGTCGTTGCAGTCTAGAGCCACCAACCTGAGGGACCACCCAAGATGTCTCCTCTGGGAGGTTATCTTTCTGAGTAAGAACTATACCACTGAAATGTGCATCAACGTATCAGTCACAGATTCTATCTTCTCCTGGTAGTTTTACTCTCACCAATTTTTTTTTACCATGGACTGTAACCTGTACACGAAGCTAGGTTTTTTCTAGCCGTAAAGCTGCCACTGTCTCAGCCTAGCGGCGTAATCTTACATTACTATCTTGTTCTCCGATCCACAGATAACGTACTTGAATGGGAGCAAATACGTGGCTTCTCCTTGCGACATGACAGGTCGTTGGCGGAAGTTCATTCACGCTCAGTATTTGAACTGTGCCACATTCGAACCCTTTGCCGAACTGCGTGCTTACACAACAAATATTGAATTGTATATTTACCTGAACGATCTAACCGAATACGCCACTTGTCCGGATTGTTTTAACAACGAGGTGAAATCCCAGCTATCTGGTGCCCTGATTGTCATTCATCCAGCAGACTATCTCCCCGACGTCAACGACAAGAGCATTAATTTGAAACCTGGGTCTCTGACAGAGATCCGATTGTCCACAGTAGAGAACGTTCAAAAAATGCCTCCATATGGACGATGTTCACACGATTTGCCCGAAAGTGTACCACTGTATGGAACGGAATATGCGTATTCTGAGTACGCCTGTCGTCAGGCGACGATTCAAAACGAAATCAGCGCAAAATGTGGATGTTTTTCAATCGAATTTCCATACAGCGAACACGCTGGTCTTGAACCGTGCAGTCGATTGCCAGCATTTGTAAACATATCCAGTTGTGATAATGTGGCATCAGCCACGGTCAATAGCACATGTGCAGCACAACTCACAGAGTTCGCCCAAAGGATGCTATGCAAACGCTCTGTCACAGAGAGGTTTGCTCATGGTATAGTGCCCTCATGCACGATGCCGTGCGCTTTTTACTCATACGAGGCGGAACAATCCACATCGACGTGGCCAACAAAGGTATGGCAACTCACGTGGTTAAATTCCTCTAGCATCCGCCGGCTGGGTATATTCAATGGACCAGAGTTTCAAATCTATCGGGAGGCACAAACTCTTCTGGCTCAAGGCAATGAGAGTGCAGCTGCTCGTTTACTGGAACATGCGAATCTCTTGGAACGCAATTTACTAGCCGTGCTCATCAATCGGCCAAACTTCGATGTCCGTAAGGTAGAAGAAAAGGAAGTTCTATCTTTAACCAGTCTCTTATCACAATCTGGTGGATTGTTCTCCATTTGGATGGGACTTACAATGATCGCATTGGGTGAAATCATAGAGTTTTTTATGCGGTGCTTTGTAAAAGCGAAAGCTTTGAGGAGAAACCGAAACACATTAAGACCAAATTCGCTACCAAGTGATGGAAACGTTAGCATCACATCGCTCATGCACAAAATGTCAATAAACCGGGAGGAACAACCTGGCGATGAGAAACCTTGCAAAGAAAATCATCTTCTGTGGTTACAACTCATTGCATTTATGAAGCAAAATAGTATGCAGAGCCATGCTTCATTTGGAATTGAACCTGAATGTGTTTGTTCATGTATGCAATCAGAAAAGACTAGCAATAATACTCTGTCATGGCAAAGACCTAGTAGGAGCAGTGTTTTTCGCTCACATCTGCCGAACATAAATCATGGACATCGAAAATCCATCTCTACCGAAGTATCTTGAACTTGTCCGCGACAAGTCAGTGTGAACAGTCTTCATTGCTGTCATTTTCCATTGTGAATAAAAATGATCCAAATGCCCAGACTGTCCATCGCAAAATGCCCCCCCCCCAGATCGTGCAGCTAATTGACATTTACGAACTATTCTTTGAGATTTCCTATAGTGGTTGTATTTCTATTATTGTTGTTCTAAAAATCTACAAATCTGCACTCCTAAAGTTTGCCTCGCGCAACAAAATGGAACTGTGAACTGGTAAACAAGTCTGCCGGTCTTGGCTAGAAGCGCGGATTACCGGTTGAAAACAGAGTAAGAGAAATCGAACGTGTTTATTTGCTGAAAGAAAAACGAAGGTAGCGAACAAAACACGTCTTGCCATCTAGGCCAGAAATCACGCGCAAATGTTATGTGAATATCACAGATGCACGCTGTAAAGAAAAGAGGGGTTTGGGATGGTTAGCACACGGGTCAATAAGTAGGGGTCAAGTGAGTGACTTCAAGGTCAGCTGAGTTTGTGTGACCAAATCGTTAACCGGCAGTAAAAGTTTCCTTCGGAAGCAGAGTTGCTGGTCATTCAGTCGAATTCGAATCGCTTTAGCGATCGACACTAGTTCGAGTTGTACCAGTAGCACGTTTCAGATACTCGGGGTGATACTAAACTCGCGACTAGTTAAACGGAAAATCAGGAAATCGAATAGACACCCGTTCTGAACAAGCTTGGATGTGATCTTTAGAATTATCATGCAGAAACATCCTATCTTCCTGTGTACTGATGATAAGATGGAGGTAAAATCAGTGTTTTGGACACCGAAAGTCTTGCGTGCCGTTCCATCTTTCGGGCTGTGACTCCTTTAGATTGCTCGGAGCAGTGTTTTCTATCAGTCCACACACTAAAAGCTCAAAAAAAACTCTGGAAGAGTAAAACATAAGAAAATATCAACAGGCTGAAATGACCCTGTGTTCTGGGAGGGATAAAATTGTGGAGCTTCCAGAACAAAGGTTGAAGAAGTGATGCGACGTTTCTTACCGGATTAGATAGGATCTCCTTGTAAATCGGTGACTTGATATGAACACCTGCATAAACTGAAGGTCGTGAAGAACGACTCTTTCTTAGGAGGGAGTACTTGGATGAGGGCTTCTTACTAAGGGGAAACTTCCGCATTTAGCCTGGATGCACAGTATGTATAATACTACCAGCCGTTACACTCACATGGTGCACAAAGCGGAATCAGAAAGCTCATATGGCAACAACGCCCGAGCAAGGACAAATTCTAGGCTAGAAAAGAAGTTTTCAGTGAAGTTTCCAGTAGTTTGCTTCTATAATAAAATGATCTTGTGACTTCTGAAAGTGCAAAATAGACCACAACAGGTTGGCCAATAATTCGACATCGAAAGCTAGTCTGACCGACTTCGTTTCGCTGAGTAAAATCATAAAGGAACCCTCTGAGTACAGATTGTTACCCGCCAAAGTCACATGCCTGGCTGTCATACCTGATCTTGTCGACTTCAAGAACTGTTCACTGACCCGCTGACATATCTGATTTCTGCTCTGCCTACGTGCTTTCTACTTATACCGTAGATAAACTGGTATGCATAGTTCAATAGGGATAGCGACTTAATCAACCCATTCGTCCTCTCAGAGAGATTTTCCCGCTTGAAATTGAAGGTTATATTTTGTCCTCTGGGTATGAGTGTTTGACATGGAATATCCGTTTTTTGCTGTGTGAGCTAATCGATCATCTGAATGGAACACTTTTTCCATTGTGGATCGCTCCGAATGGCTTCGGGTGCTGATCCGTTAAAAATGTTTACCACGGTAGATAGAAACCGTTCGGTTTTTTGATCGTAACCTATAATTTATTTAGCAGTCGCTCATCTGTGCTTATATAAATGGGTCTGGTTGTACGCAATCTGATATCGTAGCCGCCGATATGAAAGCATCCTGATATGAGTTTCTTCTTGCTTATGAGACAAAACAGAATTTGTCATAAAGAAGTTCCCATTATAGTCAAATATCGTTCAGACAGCGCGACAGTTTGACTTACAAATCGTATAGTGGTTCTAAAATCCGTAAAATAATTCGGGCTGAACATCGAGTAAGGAAAACAGAGCCTCAGAGGGTTATTCAATTATCTTTGTCCGACGATAGGATGATAGCACAAAAGTACTAGTACGATACTGATTCAAAGTCTGCAGTGATGCAGCTCAACTTGCCTCTTTGTTTCCCGAGTGCGCCACGTCGTCCAGTCTAATTAGGTTGACCCGGTTAATGGACATGGTTGAAGTACCGGAGTTCCTTCGGGGAAATACCGAATACCTCAATATCTTATTCAAGTTAAGGTGACTATAAATCAAAACAGCTAATCTCATCATCACCTATAATGCCTTGGTATAAAACAAATTTTATCTTGATACAAAATTCAAAGTGACTCGGGATTAAAATACCGGTGTCTTGACATTTTTATGCCAGATAAAAGCATCTCTAATTAAGCATCTGATTTAGGAAGGACATCAAACGGTTTATTAAGAGTTACCTCAAAGTCCTAACATGAATAAGGTAATGAAGTCTGTGCTTTTTGCTCATTCATTACTGACTTGAATTCAGAGCTTCTGCAACGGATTCCACATCATCAGATCTCAGTTAGAACCCATCACTTATCTGGCCAACATTTTTTCTTACCAGGTTATGGGGGATACAGAATGCAGATGATATTCTGGATGTGATGAAGGCCACGGTGAGACCAATTGTGGAGGTAGAGACCAGGTTTTCTATAGCGTCTACGACACCTGGTGCTTAGTTGTTGTGTTTATTTTAGGCACGTGGCTATCGTCTGTTCTCTCGGACCGATTCACGTCTCTTGGGTGAACCGAAGACATACTTCACTGATTATCTGCACTCAACTGTCTGCACACTGTGGATCAAGACGTGCCCAACTAAGCGCCCTTGCTATGAACTATGAAACGACGCGTACATGTCTCCAATCAGTTCTGTCAGTTTTCGTCGCTTTTGCCTTTCATTTAGGACCGATTGTAAAACAGGCCAAAAGAACACGCTTTTTGGAAAGTGATACAAACAAAATCCGCAATCAGTTCTTCAAACTTACATATGGTATGCTGTCATTCGCACTGCTATGAGTGTGTTCACCATTCTGCATCTCGGAAATGCCTTATTTATGAATCGTCCCAACTCTGAGGCGTAAAGACTGTACCTAATGTGTTCTGAGTTTGCGGAGCGTGGAGACCTCCCCATGCAAGACTGCAGGCGAGTCATGGAGCAACTTAGCTTTATCCCTCACAGATACTCGTACTTGTGGTGCTGCTGTTGTCCAAGAGGCGGGTCTCAAGGCTACGTACTGGACCAAAACCGAGACCCACGGTTTAGCTGATGCCTTATCTGCTATCATTTTTCATGTGGCGTTAATCGTTTTTTGTACGCGGTGGATTTTTGAGTAGCCTGAATCAGTGTTCAGGAGTTAGTTGTGTCGGAAGGCACTTGGGGCACGCCCCTTTGATTGAATAGAACAAACAGCACATGCAAATGAAGGAAAGCAGAAGGAACGAAGAGTTCGCTTATTGGTTTGCAGAGCACTACATTATGCGCGACTGATGCCATTACTTTACGGTTATCGCGCATGCTGCTACCTTGTCTACTGCATGTTGTCTTTCATGAAGAACCACAGTCTGATTTGCCATCCGTAAATCCAATTGCCATTTAAATTGGGACATAAATTTGCTGATCCTACTCTCGCGGGCTTATCAAGTTTGCACCGCTTATATGGTCTTACCAACGGGACAGCGAGAAACACTCACTGATCGACAGACTGGTCAATGTAGTCACCTACTGCGAGTTTTGTGTGAGGAGTTCGCGCGCCTTCGTTGGATGTTCGGACAGTCGATTATTCTGAGAGATTGGGACTTGAAAAATGCGTACAAAAAACCTTGGGGTTGTGTGCACCGAGGCTGTAAAACACTACAGAATAACATCTTTTTTTGACAGAATTATTTTCTCCCGTCATTTTAAATGTCATATCCAGACAAAGTTTGTTCTACATCAAAATATGTTGCAAGTGATGCTGAGACAAACATTTATGAGTTTATGTCATTTTGACTTGAAAACATGCCATGTGACCCTGATAAATATAGCAAACGTAATGACAGTGACAGTGGAAGAATCAGGGTGTTTGAAGCAATTATCCGCATACCCAAATCCCTGTGATATTCAAACTTGTGCGGGGCAATAAATCTCTAATTATCAGGCGGTTTCGTCTGAATAAATCTAACCAGTCTCACTTTATGTTCATTTCACAGATTACTTGCACGCAACTTACCATAACAGATTATCAGTAGTTTCCCAGTGAGATAAATGACCAGTTTTAGAGAAAAACGTCAGCAACCGCCTAATGAACAAAACCACTCGCAGCTGGACTAGCTTTGTACTACATCCCAGTTTTCGTCTGACACTCTTCAAAGGGAAGGCCCATTTACAAGTAGTATGAATGAAAATACACGCATGTTGGTGACACGAACCGCCGATATCCAGCTTGCCAAACGAGTGTCCTACAGGCCACTTCTAGGCATATCCTTCTGCTTGGACCTCTAGACTGAAAATTTACCAAATCCCCTTCTATGTTCTAACAACCCACAGTATTTTTAATATATCGGTAAATCTGGGGTAAAATAAATGATTTGTTCACCCATTGGAATTTTGTACCTTATAGACGAAGTTGGTCGCTGCACCTCAATGTTGATATGTGGCATCTATCACTGCATTCGATCGCCGACTGACTGATCAAGTAGCGCTCGTTACTTCGGACGAAAATCCTCAAGAAAAAATCCCCAAGTACCCTCACACTACCAACAGTCTGTAAGTAACGCAGAGGAAGATGAATGAAACTCCTATCTGAGAAGTCGTCACTCAGTGAGCGAGGCAACACGTGTGAACACATTATGTGGTTTCCATGATTGAGAATGGCGCTATATCCTGTCTCAGTGCGAGCAAATCACAC